ACACTGCATTACATGAATGTTTCCATTGCATGCTTTAAACTGCATAATATAACATGGTCATTTTAACAGGATTCAAATTTCGCATGTTTGATGCCAAACATGTCAGAAACACTAATACACACCATGCCGGCCACAGTAGATGATACCGGTATTCAACTGCATTTCCTACAAAAAGACTGGACTAACTTTCTAAGATTCTGTTTAGTCTTACAGAATACGCAGCACTATAAAATAATTAACTCTAACATTGCTGTCCAGCTAAGAACAATGTATCTAAGTTCTTGTTTGTTACGTTCTTTTTAAAATTATTATTTTGGGGCTGTATGACATAGCACTTAATGTATCAGTATGGTAACTGTGATTTGTCACCGCAATAAAAACTTGTTAACTGGTTTCAACACGTATGCTGAAACCTGAATTAAGTGGACGCCAACAGCACCTTTGGTGCTTAAAATGGCAGTTCACTTCACAGAGATGAATTATGGAAAGAAAGGTTTGTGACTAAGTGATACGTATATCCACTTAATAAAAAGTGTCCTGACATAGGAACTATCTACAAAATGTTTTACTTTACACATGCATGCTAAGCCTTGAAGCCCCAACATCAATATGTGTATTCTCTCAATTATTATTGTTTTCTCTGTATTTCCTACAAAACTGTTTCAGAGAATTTTGTTCGTAACATTTCATTCCTTCGTTCATTCATTCATAACCTGTTTATTTGATGAAGCTGTTAAATTGTGAGGAGAATTTAATAATGGTGTCTACTGGGGCACAGGGAGCCTGAACGCTGTATTACCTATTTCAAAAGAAGTTGTTAATTACCTGTGTTCCTTAGTCTTTATGAATCATTTTACTAGGGATTACAATCAGGTCTAAGACGGCTTACCTTGGTTTCGAATGCTTCTTGTCTGGTGCATCGTGCATTGGATCGTTAGCAACAGTTGCATCTCAAGTTTCCAACAATTATCATTAAATATTAACAATTACTCTCCTCGGAAAAGAAGAGTTAATTTGAAATTCAAGATTGTCTCCCAAGAAGCTAAGAGTTAATAGTTGATAACAGAAACTTGGGCGTAACTATAGCATGCCAGACAGCAAGGTAAACCATCTTTGATCAAATTCAAATCCTTTCCAAACATTTCGTAAAGACTCAGGAACACAGGTAAATAACAGCGTTCGGGTTCCATGTGATAGGGGCTTTAAGGGTTATGCTAGTTGTGATTCGGATATCACTAGTTATCCATATTACTCTTTGAAATGCTCCAAGGTTCTGGCTGATGGATCGGTGGCATTGGTCCACTTCGGCATCCACAAATATGGAATAAAATGACTTTGGTTAGGGAACAACTCTTCAAAGATTTGCCGATAGTAGAAGCCTTCTTTGCTCTTGGGAGTGTTGTAAGGGTAGAGATCTGCGGCTCGGGCCATGGCTTCATCAGGAACTTGATTCTCGATGTAATTCTGCAACAGCTCAAACCAGGCTTGGCCAGGTTTAGTAGATGACACACCATCAGAAAATGCTTCCTTGGCACGCCACAGAATCTCTTGTGGTAAGGCATCGGTGTCGTCAAATGAAGCTCGCAGAAGCCACTTCTCAATTCCTTCCTTTGGTTGACGGATCTTGGGATCAAGAGACAGGAAGTAGGATGTGAATTGAACATCTAAGAATGGCACTCGAATTTCCAGTCCATGAGCTGCAGTAGAGCGGTCACCTCGCAGCACATCATAGAGGTACAGGTCTTTCAGAAGCCTCCTGGATTCCTCGTCAGCTTCTTCAGGGCTCGGCGCCTTGTGGAAGTAAATGTATCCTTGACACAGTTCATCAGAACCCTCTCCAGAGTAAATAACAACAGTGTCTGTTTCTTTACTGACGTACTTGCTCACAAGATACATTCCAACTGAGGCACGGATTGTTGTGATATCCCATGTCTCCAAGGCATAGATAACTTCACGCAATGCTTGGATACCCTCCTCAGATGTAAAGATTACTTCATGGTGTTCACTTCCTATGAAAAGAAAATTCACATTTTCAAAATTTATTCACCCCTTATGCCTCAATATCCACATACAAAGTTTCCAGACTGATTTCCATTCATATCCTTAAGGAACAGTTTAGAGAATTTGATAGAAGATCAAAGCATTTTCCCTTTGGTGATAGATGATGTATGGATCAAGAGAAAATTGATGTGAGTCACTCTTGCAACTTAAAGGGTTAAAAGAACGGTAAATCTTATACCATGGTACAACCTTAATTTACCATGAATATAAATGATATGTGAAGATCATTGTAAAATACTTTCACATTGTAAATACTTTCTCTTTTAATCGTTATTGGTATATTTTTATTGTAAATATTTGATACATAGAGAATACTTCATGGAAAGTGCTGGCGTACGGTATTTACGCACGAGTTATTGACGTATCAGAAATCGAACGAGTGAGCGCAGCGAACGAGTGAGATTTCTGATACAAAAACAACGAGTGCGTAAATACCGTACAAAGCACTTTCCATGTGGTATTGTGTTTATTATATACATACTGAGACATTCATCATTTGGCGGGCCTTTTTATTTTAAATCTTTCAAAAGTGCTAAAATTTGCCGCTACACACTTACCGCAAAATGACAACGAAAACGAAGTATCAGCATTTTAGTAAAAAACGTTTGTTAAAAACATAAATGACGGTGAGGATATGAGGTAATCCAAGAACTATAAGTAATCTTAACTGTTTGTTCTCAATGTACAATTGAAAATGAGTGAATTTAAGTAAAATGGCCGGTTTCAATATAAGCTTAAGCTTAAATGGGCGATTCCAGAAAATATCCATACCATACCACGGACGGCTTTAAGGATTTCCGAAGGGGAGGGGGGATTCACGATTATGGAATTCTGAAGGCATGGGGGGGGTATTTACGATTTGAAATCCGAAGGTATGGCGGAATTCCACAGGTGGGATTTCTGGAGTAGAAAGTGTAGAGTAAGTTCCTGGAAAACGCTATTGTTGTGGACTTTTGTAGTTCGTAAATAAGCCACGAACGTATGACCGCAGAAGCAGAAGACAAGCATCGATAGATCAGACACGTGTTTACGCTCATAACTTATAGAAGTGAACAGTAAAACGTTGGTTTCACATTTACCTTGATGAATTTCTTGTCACGTGAATAAAAACTGAAAATGTATCTTTTAATACCGCTTGCAAATTTCTTGTTACTCCCGTCCGAAACCGTCCGATAAACAGATTAGAACGCTTTTCGTGCGCACTACATGACGTATAAAAGGACGAAACACGACTCGACGGTATATTTGACCGCCAAAAGATTTTAACAGTCTGTTTGAGCTATTTTCCTTTGTAAACGTCAAAACAGCACAAGAAAACAAAGAGGAGTAAAATTACCTTAAGTGGTGTTTATTTTTATAGCCAAATTCGGACTTAAAAAGGAGTTTGCACGGCCTGGCAACTAGCGTAGGTTTTTCTTGTCACTGAAGAGTAAAGCTTGTCACCTGGCGCCGCTAGATCACAGCCTTGAGGAGGCATAAATTCATGTTCGTTTGTTCTTATAGGCGTTGCTAAGTCGAAAATGTACTTCCAAAAAAAAACGGAAATTCTGAAGGGGAGGGGGGGTTCACGACTATGGAATTCTGAGGGCATGGGGGGGTAGCGCATTTTGGAATTTCCGAAGGCAAGGGGCGGTTAAAACATGGAAGCCGTCCGTGGTTGGGTATGGATATTTTCTGGAATTGCCCAATGAAAGGCAAAGTAGCTCCGACAAAAAGCACAACAAAAGCTTACGTCTCGTTCTGTTTATCCCTTTCCGCTGTTGTTTCCCCGGCTCTCTACTGTTTTCTTTATCGACAGTGAAACAAACGAAACTATTCTACTCCATTTCTGAAATGTTTTTCACTTTTTTAGCGAGAAATACTAAAAAAACTTTTCTCGTTGAATGTGTGCGAAGCAGCGATGCAAGCTGCAATAAAAGGTGGGAATTTTGGCGCAAAACTCACACACCTCTGTGGCTTCTGATTGGACGTATCATTTTTCTCACACGTGAAAAAACATCGTTCGCGATTCTGATTGGACGTATCATTTTTTTCACGTGTGAAAACCATCGTTCGCTCCTCTGATTGGCTAGAACTATTTTGCGTACGAAAATTTACGACATAGCTTTTTGGTGAGTATTTCTCAGTATGTATATAATAAACATAGATATTTTTTAATAATTTTAAATAACAGATGAAGAGCCACAATGTGGTAACCCTGTTTTTAAACCCATTACTTTCTTTCTAAATTACTTACTTACTGTACTTATAAGATATCAACTCCTCTTCTTGTATATCTGGTGACATATTTCTTGAAGAAAGAGGGGTAGAGGTTGCTACAGAGATTTGAAGCTTAAAACATTTAAGCTACAAGCAGTTGCAAAAAATAATGTTGCGACACAAATTGTTGCTAGTCACATGTCTGTGAGATATAACACTCACCCCCCGGCCCGGCCTCCTTCCCCTCCATTCAAAGTTTTTCCTCCTAGGTTTTGAGCATGGCCTTGTATTACAAGCAACTTTGACAAGGGGAGGGGAGGGGATCACAGGCACAAGATCATGGACCAGCCATTTAAGCCAAAAACAGGTACCAGGTCTCTCAAGTATTTTTGAACTGGTTGTAACTAGATCGGATTATAAACGCTGGTATAATGACGAGAATTTTGATTACAAATGTATATGAAATAAATCATATATGAGGACTGCGGAAATGAAATCAAATGAAGGATGATCCTCCCAGTTAGGAACGCAATTTATCCAACTGTGTAAGAAGCCAGAAAAAAATTCAGGACTTCAACAGAATTTGAACCCGTGACCTCGCAAGGTCTTAGGTTCAAATGCCGCTGAAGTCCTGAATTTTTTTCAGGCTTCTTATGCAATATTAGTATAGGTAATAGCATGATTTGTAGTGATATTTGGCATAAATACAACGAGTGATATTTCGAAATTGTTTTACGTAATTTCACGAGCCGTTAGGCGAGTGAAATTTGAGACAATTTTGAAATATCACGAGTGGTATTTATGCCAAATATCACGTACAAATCATGCTATTATTTGTTTATACTACTACCCGCAAAAGGTTTGTAATTTTCACATGTAGGTATTTCAAATTAAGCTGAAATACCACTGCTCTAAGCCAATCAGATTGCAGTAATTTCTCATGTAGTAGTATAATTGCACAAATTGCGTTTACAACTGCAAGGATCAATCCTCATTTGAAGAATTTTGATTCTGATCACTTCTTGGATTTTAACCTCACTTGCAATAATTTGTCTACAAGAGTGTGGATGCAGTATTTTTATCGCCTGTGGTATGATCACTTTACACTCAGAAAGATGACTTTCATAAATAGTACTATTAGAGGAGGGAAGAAGAGTTCTTTCTTACCAATATGTTTTGCAACTTTTCGAGCTGCAATGACATCTGTGCTTCCTTCCATTCCAATTGAGAATGTTTGAATGGGGTAATCAATCCCAGATTCCTTTGCAAGCTTTGTAAGGAATGACGCCACTAAACTGGAATCCAGCCCTCCGGAGAGTAGACAGCCAATTCTACGGTCAGCCATGAGACGTTTACGCACTGCTTCAGCAAACAACTTCCTGATGTTTTCCATGACATCAGCTGAGTCTGGCTTCACATTGGTTTCAAACACTGGGGGTTTTCCAACTTCCGTGTAGGCCTTCTGCTCAATGAGTGTCGTTTGTCCATTAGCTGATAAGCTAAATGATGCATAATGACCAGGAGGGAATGGTTTGATAACCATTTTATCTCCATTTTTCTCAAACTGTTCAATAAAAGGTGTAAGAGCCTTCGCTTCAGAGCACAGTGCCAAGATTCCTGTGCTCTTTCCATCAGCTGACAAGGTGAACATTGGACGTATACCAAATGTGTCTCGGCCAATGTGCACTTGTTTTTTGTTGGTGTCAATGAGACAAAAAGCAAACACACCATCCAACATCTGCGCCATCTTCTCTACTCCATACTTGTTGTACAGATGAAGAATGACTTCACCATCGCATTTCGTAAAATAGTCGAAGTCGCACTGCTTTCCCACCTCCTTGTGATTGTAGATCTCTCCATTGTAGATCAGATACAGATGAGGCAAAGCCTTAATCCTCATTGGCTGCATGCCGTGGAGATCATCTACAATGGCAAGCCGGTGAAATGCAAGGCAGCAGTTTTGGAAGTGAGGAACTGTCTCCATGCGAAAGACATCAGGTCCTCTTTGGCCTATTTTCATGGCGTAACTAGCATACTTTGAGTACTCTGGGATACCAAATATCGCCCAAATTCCACACATATTGACTTGCCCCTTGCAATCTGAGATCAGAATCACAAAATTGAAATTTGCGACTTAGTGTGTTTTTAGCCATTTAATGAGAATAAATTAGCCCTTATAACATAACATTACATACAATGTACCGTAAAATTCCGAAAGTAAGCCCCTCCGTGTAACAGCCCCTCCAAGTATAAGCCCCCTAAACTCCTAACGCAAAAAACCCTCCATTAAATCGCCCCTCCAAATATAAGCCCCCCTGGGGGCATGTATTTGGAAATTGCCCTCAAATACAGAGTAAAACAAAGCAAAAATGGTACATTTACTTCCAATTACTATAAGGCTAGCCCGATCGATTTTGAAACACAAATAACCCTCCGTAGATAAGCCCCTCTGAATATAAGCCCCTTAAAAAGGGCCTTTGAAAAATATAAGCCCCGGGGCTTATTTTCGGAATTTTACGGTATGATATGTAATAAGGGCTTTATACTGATTAACTACTAAAAACACACTACAGTCAAACCTCAATTATCCAGACTTTTTGACCATCTGGACTTGCTTCCCCGGTCCCTTTTTTTTTCATGAACATTAATAAGAAGTGATCTTGAAAAACTGAAATGATTCAAAATTTCAAACGTGTGTTTAATACACTGTTTTTAAATCTGTTTCGCTTTGAAAAAGTGCGAGCGGCACGAGATAAACAATTTATTATTCTTATACATTCTGCTGAATTCTGATTGGCTCAATTGTTATGTTGTTAAGGGAAGGTCATGCGTGATTTTGAGAAGGTTATGTAAACACAAGACTAATTATAGGTTTACTCAGCAAGTTCTTTTTTGAGAAATACACAGTTTCTATACTATTTCTAACAGTATCATGTGGAAAAACTTGGAAGATGATCAAAACTTTCAATGAACATGACAGCCATTACTTGGCAAAACAGTTTACATTAATGACAACAATAATGAAATTGCCAGAATATATAACTTTCCTCTACTGAGTACAAAAGAGGGTATGTTAAAGAAAAGTCCTTAAAAATACCAAGTAAGATAAAGGGGGTAAATGTTGGTATGAAATTCCAGCATTAATTTGTAATTTACATGTTGCAAGGTTTAAAGATGTTACGAATGAACATATCAGGTACAAGTTGTTCAAAGTGGGGATAGCAAGTTTACCCAGGGCCCGGGGGGGGGGGGGGGGGTACTTCCTTAGGCTAATAGGGATGGGGCGCTGGATGGGGTCGCAAATTTTCGGATTTTTGGGGTAAGTAGGGATTCAAAATGGGAAGATTCTCGATTAAAAAATCAGCAAGTTGCTGTTTATAAAATTTAACAATAAGCTTGCATTGACCGCATTACATTCCGCCGCTTCAAACCACATTGATGAGGTAGATGCATAAATAGAAAGTGACTAAGTTGGGATCGCGAAAATTACATTTTCCAAAAAGTGACTAAGATGGGGTCTATAATTGGCCAAAAAATAGACTATAATGGGGTAGGGGTTCTGGGAGGCCAGCGGCACATACTCAGCAAACATTAACCCAAGTACCCCCCACAGGACCCAGGGTTACAACAAAATTAATTTGAGTTCAGATACCAAAGCTCAAAAACAAATTTCAGTTTAATTCATTTTGTCAACAATTTAATGACTGAATGCTCAAAAAGGATGGAGAAAATTAATATTCAAGAAAATGCTTTCAGACAAAAAAAATCCACCCTTGTTAGTGCTATTGGCCTTGAACAACTGGGCTCAAGGTACTAAAAGTTGCTGTAGACACTGTGATGACCTTTAAAGCAGACGAAAGGGCACAAGTTTATTTTCAATTTCAAAAAGGATTCTAACAGTATTTATCTTGAAAGTGAAATCAAGCCAAAACGAATGCCTTATTCATCCTTTCAGAGTGTGAAGTTCTCCAAACAATAAACTAGTCAAAAACTCACGCTTGTCAGGAGGGTAATCGGCTCCTGCGCTTGTGAGTGTAATTTATCACCCATGATTTAATTGCACTTTCCTAAAACTCTGATAATTCTCTGACCTAAAGGTCTGGGAAATTATTGGAATTTCAACGAAACAAGCTACTTCCTGATTTCACTCATCACCACTTAATTTAATACACATCTTACAAACACTTAGTGAACGATGATGATAGGTACGGAATGTGAATATTCAGTGGAATTGTCCCATGATGCTCTTGACAGCCTGTTGGTATGTCCTCATGGCTGGGGTTTTGGAAGGCTTTGAGTTGCCCCGGTTCGGGATTTAAAAAAATCAAAAATTTAGAAAATTTTTAAAAAAATTCCCTGGCTACCCCTCCCCTCCCCCACCCTCTCTCCACTACTGCATGGAGAAAACAACCCTGAGCTCACAACAAAGACAACTTTAAAATAAAATTAAACTTGTACAATGTTCATTATCCGTCATGCAAAGTAAAAAAAAAAATCATGACCTAAGGTAACCTAGAAACGTTTCCTGCGGACTTAAATATTCAATCAGGAATCGGGTTTAACAAGAACAGACATGCATTAGACGGGTAGTTAGAATTGTAACGCATGCTGCGTGTTTTGGGAAGCTCGTAATAAAGAAATTAGACCCGTAAAACGTAGGCTTTGCCTTCATAGATCGAAAGAGATTATTTCCTCGCTGTACGGACGTTTGCATACGTGGCGATGTGGATGAAAAGATACCGAAACACGGTCCGCTTTGCGGAAAACGTTTGAGATAAAACAATGGAGACCACCGAATAACTGATTCTTTACACAAAACTAAAAACATTGCTATATATTCTAGTGTCCATGCACTTACCTCACCGACAATGTCCAAAACAGCGACTCTAAGGAAGCCTATATTCGACAGGGAAAAAAATACAATGAATTCCGGTCTGATGCAACTGATCAAGCCACGTTCGAGCCACGCTGCTTTAGATGGCGGATTGTGATTGGTTAAAACTAGAGACGTATTGGCCCACTTGTGAATTGCACATGTATAAGATGTCTGATTGATGAAAGAAATTAATAAAAAAGAATGAGCCTTATGTTTTTGAGAAACAAACAATTTTAAAAATGCGCGGTTTCTGACAGAGCTTACCGTGAGCATTTGACTTGTCCACCAGAGCTCCCCTTGGGGAAATAGCTCCCCCTCTGCCCCCTCCCCCATCGTTTCTTATTGACCTCCTAATTTTTTTCTTTTTGTCTCGGAGGAGGGTTGCGTGACGAGACACAAACGACTTTGCGGGAGACCACATACTTTACCAAAAACTATTAAAATAGTTAACGTTTGCCAATACAAAAATACACACTTAGTATTGACCGGAAAGCCCTAAACAGGAAACAACTTTCCTCACTGAAGGGCTACCTAAATTAACAATAAATAAGAAATAAAAGACAACTAAAAGAAAAAAATCATGAATACCTAGACAACTGGCAATCATGTACAATATTTTAAAAACTAGAATATAATTAAACTAGTAAGAAAAATAAATTAGGAGAATGTAGAAATATCCTTCATGTGTAGAAAGGATTTCAGGCAATCCTTAAAATCGTCTAAAGATTCAGTTTTTCTTAAATGTAGAGGCAGAGAGTTCCATGACTTTACTATTCTAAAGAAGTAAGAAAATTTTAGTTCTTGCGTATCTAATTTCAAACTGGTAATTAGTATGTCCGAGGTTATATTTACATATGGAACTGTCAGCAGACACAAGATAATATGACAGATCCAAATCATATAGGCCCATCATGTATTTCAAAAGGAAAACTAAGTCCATAAAGAGCCATTGAGGCCAAGGAAACGGTGTGGCGACCAGACCTGGGAGGCAAATTCAACGTGTGGTCTGACTAAATGAATGTATAGTTTGAGCAGTACATGGGGATGGGTACAAGTACCACAAGTTCTCTTGTTCAAACGTAGGGACTTTATTAGCGGTGTTTACTTTGGCCATGATATGGTTATGCCAGGATAGATTATGACTTATCAACACTCCTCACAAACGAAAATCACCCAAAAAAAGCTTCGCAGGCTAGCACAGGGCGCAGAGAAGTTATTTGTGACCTTGACTGCAGTCGCCGAGTCGACTTTGTAAATTCCATATACCCGCCATAGGTGGAGGCTGCGCCCCGAGTTCAGCCGTTTTTGTCTCGTCACGTAACGCTCCCCCCCCTCCTCCACCTGCGTGACGAGACAAGAACGGCTACGGGGGAAACTAGAGGTCTTACCCCTTACCCTTTCATAAATCGGTTCTGAACTATTGTAGTTCTGTGGGATCCTTCCTTGCCTATGCATGAAAAAAAGGGCCTAAAAATGGGCTACAGACGACTTAATAGCTTTCGGGCGGAGCCTCCTCGTATATGCTATAATAGGGAGTACTCCCGCTCCCACGGGCTATGAGTTTTTCAGCAGTGTTTGGTGAATTATCTGCGTTAATCCAATTTTACACAAAACCATAAGAGGCAAAGAACTAGAGAGCTACCACATAAGCCAATTTGCCATAGACTGCGAGCAGTCTATTATATTCCTTTCGAATCACAGTAGATCAGAAGCGGTGATGGGGTCCTGCCTCTCGTAAGCGACAACCGGGTCTTCGCACTTCCAGTGGTCGCTTACGGGAGATTTGGTTGTATACCAAATAAGTTTGAAGGCCCCCGGAGAAGACGCAAATATAAGGAGGGAGAGAAAAGGGCGAAATTTTCAGCTCTCTTTTCACCAGCCGTACAAAAACTTATTCATGACCAGCCGTACAAAAACTTATTCATGGTGCCATCAAATTAAAAGGCCTGTCCCCTTGTGAAAAAGGCAAAGCAACGCCGGACAGGCCTAGCAAGAATCGCTGCATTTCCATTCAATACTCAAGGTCTTTGTAAACTTGTGTTTGGCCCAAATCCTGCAGACAAAACGTCCGGAGCGTCTCGCCCGCTAAACAAACTGTTACAGCTAGTTATAGGTCGGGTGTCGACGTGGAGTCGACAGGCGATTGGTCGATTATTCAATTGGCGCGTAAGCTGCGTAGCTGCCAGGATTGTAAGGGAAGGAAGCGCGAGCAAGCCGCTCATTGCGAGTCAACCAGAAATTTGCGGCGACCTGCGCCGCAGAAATGTCTTATAGCAGGTGTCCCTTTCCTCTTCCCCACGCACCCTTTTCGATGCCTGAAATAGTGGTTTTTCTTAACCCGTGAAATAGAAGATCACACTCTAATTTCGCTGTTTTCTTCTGTTTACTTGTAACTATTTCGCACAAATTGTACACACTGCTTCACGGGTAAAGTAAAAATCACTCTTCTACATAAACGTTTACAACCAAAACACACAACAAACAGAGGTTGAAAATAATTTAATCTGGACAAAAATATGGGCGTTTACAGTCCACTAATAATTCCAGATAGGTCACAAGAAGTAGTGTCCACTACGAACAGTAGGATCCAGGCCACCAGGTGTAGAGAGTCCCTCAGCCAGCTTTGGGTCACCGGTCACAAACTACACAGTAGTCATAAGTACAGCCATCATTAATTACCCCTCCCAAAGAAACCCAGAGTCAAGTTTTAAGTCTTTCTACACCATAATTTGAGTTTTGAGTAGCTATCAGCAAGGCAAATGTATTTCCCTCAAAAGGACTATGCTTAAGAATAAACAACATCTTGGTCCAAAGAAAGAAAGTCGCATTATTTATAAACCATCTAAAAGGTTTTCAATTGACCATTTCCGTGTTCCAAAATCCCTCACTTTTAAAACGAGGCTACATGCAGAACCTTTCTGATGAAAAGTGAGTTTTATTTGCATGAGAATAAAAAAAGGATTTTCATATCAATCGCTTCGTACTACGTCTCGATTAGTAAGAGGCTTGATGCAACCCCGAAAAGGCCTATTGACTACGAATGTTTAAAAAGGATACCCCTGGCTCGAGAGGTCCGCCATTAACACCTCCGGTACCCAGGGAGAAAAAGGTTAACATCTCTTTTTACATTCACTTAAGTGCACTACTCGCTCGAGTACGAGAGAGTAGTCAGAGAACTTAAAATGTCACGACGGCAAAGGCAAGGAGAACGTCAAAGTAGCAGAAGGTTAACCTTCAATATCCAAGAACAAATTCTCCACACTGATCTCCATGCATTTCCTTAAAGAATTAGTAGAGAGAATTTGATAGAAGATCAAAGTATTTTCGCTTTGCCGATCACTATATCACTTCTTCTATCCATGTCTCTTGATGATGTATGGATATTGTTAGGAGAAAATTAACGCTGGTCACTTTTGGAACTAAAGAATTAATAGGCAAGGTACTCTGCACGTGCAACATACTATTTGGGCGCACTTTGCTGCCGCCACTGCACGATTATGATGTCAAATTTCCTAGCTTTTTACGACATTTTCTGGGGGACGAAAACTCCTGGCGAAAATGTTCCTAAGAATTCAACTCAAAAACGAGAAAGTTAGAACAGTTATAAAAGAACAAGAATTCACTTCAACTGAACTTTTAATTTCGTTGCCACTGCCGTCGTGGTATCTTAAAGTCCCTAACAACACCTAAAAACGTTCACGAACGGAGGTTATAGATAGGAGCCATAACTTGTTTGGCTATGGTCTATACACCGGCAAGAGTTAAAAATACATGACACTAATTTTTCTCAAACTCAAACCAGAGTGAAAATAAACACCGTGCTAGGATTGATGATCATTATTTATCAACTACTGTGCTGTGAACTATCAATTAATCAATAGATTAGAAGCGCAAAAAGGAAAAAAAACAATACAGTGCTTCTTAAGGAAGCAACTACTGTAGCAATACAAAGACAACTGACTTAATCCACTTGCCATTTGGCACAAATTAGTACTTCACCCTTTCAGGGAGGAAAAAGGCATCGCCAAGCATGCTTACTAAAATTCCCCTTTTTAAAAATTACAATCATGGTACACAAAATTACTTAATGCTTCATTAGTGCAAAGAAAAATGTAGTGCCTAGTGAAAGCCCTGAGCAACTAAAATGGGGAAAGTCTACTGTGGCAGCACAACTCAAGTTTACAGGTCTGAGACTGTAAGTCGAGTAAAGAAGCTCTATATGGGCAGGAACCTTCTAAAATGTAAAGCTGCGCATAGATATTTCTCAAACACACAACTTGCACAAAATAATGCCCCAAGACGTCAGTCGCTGAGAGAGAAATTGTTTACGCCCGCCATAGGGTAAGATCACAAAAGTAAAACGTTGCATTCATTGAAATACAGTCATTGTAAAATTCACAGATTCGTCTAGATGAAATCTAATAATATTAATGCCCTTTCCACTGCATATGTTTTATTTGCATCGCTTGTAAAAATAGGTTGTTTCTCTTTGAACAGTACAACTGAAAAAGTTCCCAAACCGTGCAGTGTACTTTGGAATTACCACAAAGTTGCTCAGAGCTTTTGCTGGGCTGGCAGCAATTAGCGAGTAGCAAGTACCAAAAATACACCTGGCATGCCACTGACAATACCAATATAGAATGTCCAATACAAGATGTAAGTGAATGGGTCCAATAGATACAATAAGATACCAGAGTGATGCCGGTCAAGTTAGAAGTTAATTAACCAGACGGAAAATAAGTCCTTCATTTGTAAACAGGCATCTAACCATATATTCTTTAAGAGTAGGGTTCTCAGCTGTATGGCGCGTGTCTCCTCGGTGGTGGAGATTGACAATGAGCTAAAGAATCAAGAATTTTCATCTGGGCACGCTAAAACCAACAACAGACCATGCCATGATTAGTGCATTTGCATTGACATGAACACTTTCGCTGTATCATTTTCAAGTAGCATGGGACTGCCCCTTCAAATCATACAAGCTTGCCAATGCCCAATACCGCCTCATACCGTACACTTCGCGATTATCAGACCTGGGCTTGCATACAACTTCGCAAGAGGTTTTAGGAGGGCCTATATTTAGGGGGAGGGCTTTCTGACTGGACTAAAAAAAAGTGTTTCCAAACAAGCTACACAGAAGTGCTGTTCAAAATACTTTTTGAATTTGATCACTTTTTTAAGCTTCAAAACGTCATAAAAACTCATTTCAGTACCAACTAGTAGGTGGCTTATAACCGGATGAATTTTTTTGTTTACAGGTAGATGGGCCTACAAATGAGAGGGCTTAAAATCAAACGTTTACGGTTTTCTGTTTCAGCAAAAATCAACAGTAGTTTATCTTCTTTTGGGTCCTCTTGATTGGGCACACAACGTCGTTGAGAGACAGTTGTTCTCCACCCTGCAGAGAGTCGCATCGAGAACCTTCTGCTGGCGCTTCACTCCTTAAAAATTTGATTTTGAGACAAAAACTGATTGCTTGGCAATCTATTAAGACCACAATTCCTTCAAACAAAATATCTACCATATTAAGGCCAACTCTAATGGCTCAGTGGGTCATGACACAGGCTTTTCTAACATCCGATAGTATAAAAAGTGATCATAAAAACAAAAGTCGTGTGAACCAATGCAGTAGGAAAACACAGTCTTAGTCATTGTTAATCCCTGTTTATCGTCACGCAAGGTCAAGCGTACATAGATTCCAGTAAGAAATCAATTATTTGACAAATGAATACATTAGCCATTGCCGCCACCGGTATCAAATTCAGATCTGCATCTGAATTTTGGCTACCACTTCCAAATATTCGGTCAGATCAAAAAATCTTTGAATGGATAAAATTGCTTTGCAGATATTTAGATCAAACTCAAGAAACTTGAGCAGGCAGAAATTTCACAGCTACCTTGCATGTGAACTTACTGCTTATAAAGGCAGAAATGCAGAGATAAATTTGAAATATACACATACTTAACGATTCAACTTGTAAATAATAAATTCATTCACAGAATCTTGGGGGACATACTTGACCTGGCTTGACTGTAACTCTCAAGTGATAATTTGAATAACAGCATTACTAACCTGGCCAGTAGCGAAACTTTCTTCAATAAGTATAACTGCCTCGTTGTTTTCTGAGTTTTCATTAACTGGTAAAACTTTTATTTTAACTCCTGTTTCTTTCTGTAGGGTTTTTACCTGAACACAAAAATAAGGGATGACACAAGAAGTTGGGATAAATGAGCTTCCAAAACAATAATACAGTCTTGTAAGAACATAAACAATACCCTGCTTAGCAAGAATAAACATAAGTTGATTGTGAATTCAAACGTGAAATGGTTTTTTAAACCCTTTTTCTCAAGTTGTATAAATTCTGACAACAAAAAGGGCTGTAAAAAAGTTTCTATTCTAGGATGGACATAAATCCGATCACATCCCTGTTAGTCTGACAAACCAAACAAGTTCTCTGGCATACTCTATATAATAACAGAGAGGAGAAGTGTGAAATTATGGGATTGATTAGCATATTCAGAAAGAACAAGATGAAAAGAGCCCCCTTGCCTAAAATCAGGCTGTCAGTGAAAATTCACACTTGTTTTATCAAAAGTCAAAGGAATATCAGCTGTCTGGAATAAGTCAACCTAAAAAGCTATTTTGCTTTAAAACTACAGAGTACTTTTTCAACTTATTGCACCAAAATTGGTAGTTTCTTGGTGTTTCGGATGAGTGTGATCACCAAACAACATAATGCAAAAAAGACTGAAAGAACACTGAACAATGGCCATACCACTACATAATAGCTAACCTACAATAGTTTTCAAAAAACCAAGAAATGCTGACCAAAATTAATTTCGACCAACGTAAGGTTGTCAAAATTTGTATCTTGGAGTTATCGGGGATGTCCCTAAAGAGCCAGGTGAAAAAGACCTTACCACCGGTCCAAATTGCTCTGGGAAATGAAGATGTGGAGTAATATTGAGAGTGAAGTTGGGGAAAAAGCATCTTGACTAATAAAAACCCTTGGCTAAGCACTTAGTACTAAAAAGTATAAGCACTATATATAGCTACATCCCCGAGTTACACTTACATTCTGGCCTTCTTTGCCTATAAATCTTCCTATTATGTTGGGCTGATCCTTGCTACCTCCCTTTAAAGGTATGAAAATTTCTGTTTTCAGTTTTAGTTCAGCAGTGTTCTCGCCTGTGCTTGTTTTATAGCCCTCTTCAGCAAGTTTGCAATAGACCAAGTGTTGAGCCTGCGAAAGAAAGATATTAGGAGATAAACTACAGCCTTACATAAAAGCTTTTTTAATAATAAAAAATAAAAATAATAAAAATCATCATCATCATCATCATCATCATCATCATCATCATCTAGTAAGATCTTGCAAAGAGAAATTTAAAAAATGTGGGGTGTGAGGACAAAGGTGATTATGGGGGTAATGGAGACATAGGGATCCGTACCAATGAATTTGAAAAACAACCTGAACATCATTAACATGGAAATCTCTGTGGAAATGATCCAGAAATGAGCACTGTTGGGGTCAACAAGAATTTTAGGGAAAGCGGCTCAAGGAGAAGAAAGCAAACAGATTGTGCTCCTTAGCTCCCCTAGGCAGCTTGTTGTTACATGGCACAGATAAGAAACCAGCTGTAACATCACCAACTGTGCAAAATTTCAAGTTGAGCTTTAAGAATCTTAGACAAGTGTTACAATCTGATAAGAAAATGTGAAAATTCTAAACTACACATAAAGATATAAGAATTACTCAACACTTTTCAATAACGATGTGTCTTAACTGTGTTTAAAACAATCCACAGGGTTGTCACTAAGATTTCAAGTTGCCGGATAAATACAACAAGTAGGTGGGGAATCAAACGGCTAGGGATTTCTTTTGGTTCTATTTTTCTTCTATTTTGCAATAAAAGTAGCCAGGGGCCACTCTCTTAGTAGCCGGGGAAAATCCCCGGCCCCCACAAAAGCATACATTCTTCAGTAAAGAATTCAAGAAAGGTGTTAGGTACTGAAAAAGATCTGTTACTGTACGGGAATAGGTTACAATGTGGAACTATCGATTTCTTATCAATTTCTTTTTAACAATCTTCATCCCTGCGAAGACTGGCAAAAGTGGGTTGCTTACTAGCCCTATTCACAGACTCATTTTTTTTTTAAAGAGATTGTCAAACGCATGGATGGTTGCTCACAGACTGAATTTGGAAACTTTTTTTAACCACCTGGGGGGGAATACTTCCTATGATGGCCTATACAGGGAGATTCCACCCAAAACGAATACTTGTTCAGGTTCTGGGTATATAAAAGGGTAGGGGATTAAATCAAAATATTAAGAAAAGATGCATCTTATTGACTTCTATATAACGTATTTCCTTGGATAGGCGCCTATGCTTTAACAAGCGTACTCTCCCAAATACGTGCCCACCACATAGGCCTCAATATCAAATAAGTGCCCCTCCTTAATAAGCATCCCGTCCCTGACTTTCTTACAATAAAATAGTATGGATACAAGGAAAACCCGTTTCTTTTTCCACTTTATTGATGAGAGAATCAATATTAATTGATGATGATAATGAGAAAATCAGTACTTTATAAACATGCAAACCAATACAAGTGTGAAAAGTGTGTTGGTACTATTGTATGTTTGATTACCAATGACTGTTGTAACAAATTAATGAAAAACATTTATACTGACTTACCATTGATGTGGACAATATTGTAGTTTTTGTTTTTTATTAGCCAAAATAAATTTACAATTCTTTGAAAGTAAAAAGTAATAAGCACACTCCTCAATTAAGTGCCTTCCTTCAAAGAAGTAACCCTCCTTTCAGCCAAAGTTTAAATAAGTACTTGAGTGCTTATTTGAGGAAATGCAGGAAAATGAAAAGAAGACTTGCTTTTAGTAGGCATGTGGAAGGGACTCCACTTTGAAGAGTAGAAGGTTTACTTACAAAGTATTGTTGGAAAGGAGTTCCAATGATCTCAATATATCTCTCGGGAGCATCTCGATCTTTAGGAAAGACATGGACTTTACTCACTCCACTCCATTTCTTTATGTGATCAAGATTTGATGCCCCTTTACCAATGATTGGACCGGCAAATTTAGACGGAAACGTGAGATGAACTTTAACTGGAACCTAAAATTTCAATAGCAAATATTAGTAGGTATTTACAGGATGAGGTCACAACCGATCTTCAATAAATTCAAAAGAGAAGAAAAGTAGGTCTTACAGTAATTGGGTTTCAACCTTTCCATTCCCAGAGTAAATGATGGAGTTGGTGGTTTTAAGAATCGGGAGAAAAACTCCCTAGACCACAGGCCTTGTGCTCCAGCAATATTTTCCCATACAAACCCTTAAAATTTCACAGACATTCCAACAGCCATAAAATCTACGTCTCTTGTGTCAGACCCCTCAAAATTGGCTTCTCTCATTTTTTCATCCTCTTTCCATCATTGGTTTTGTTTAAGTTGTATCCCATAATGTTTGCATTAAGCAGGTCAAGGGACTACAAGTTGCAAAAGGCCTATTACAAGTAAATAATGGTCAAACCACCCAATGTGACTTAGGCTCAGGATGATTTCTGGCCTAAGTAAGTAAGCGACTCAATAAACAGACGAAACACAGCATATTCCTTTAGCCAAACAAAACAGTGACCTAAACAATAATAATTATACCTCTTGTAGCAAATAACCTTGAGATGAATCGCCAAATGCTATACGAAACCAGTTAGGAGGGTAGGGATTACTCTGCAATAGAATATGGGCAACATTAACATAATTATCATAAAAGTACAAGGCTTTTAAAGTGGACATTCCTTGAATACTCAAAACACCTGATTTTTTCATGTTCTCATTTTAACAAAATAATGTGCGAAGTAGACACAAAAGTTGATGAAGGGCAGGAGAAGGTAGCGAGTGGCAAGCAAGAAAAATAGACCAGTTTTTCTACACAGATTAGCACTAACCCAGAGTTAAATGTTAATCTGGGTTTCTGCTTCTTTTTTAAAAGCATTTTCCTGGTAATTTCCTGTTCTTTTTAGAACAGGGTTCGTACCCTTTTTTGAACAAAAAATTCACGAACTTTTCAAGGACTTTCAAGGACACATGTTCTTTTTTTAGTTCTTCCAAACATGAGTAATTTTATCCCAATCCTTTCTGTGTTTACTAGACAAAACGAAATTTAACAGAATTTATCCTTTTAAGGCCTTGAATTTTTATTTTAAAATTTATGGACTTTCAAGAATTCACAATTTTGAACAAAACGAATTTAACCCTACCTCTTAAGGTTATAAATTATGCCCAGATTAACCCTGGGTTATCGCAAACCCAGCCTAGGGCCTGGTTGTTCACAGACTGATTAGTGATTAGTGCTAACCCAGGGTTAAATGTTAGTCTGGTTACTTTTTTTTGTTCAAAAGCATATTCGTGGATAATTTTCACTAATACTTTCAGAACATCAAATAAAAAATTGAAGGCTAAATGAATTAAACTGAATTTGCTTTTGAAGCTTTCATATCTGAATTCAAATTATACACCAACTCTGGGTTATCTTCACCCATCTTTGAACAGTGAAGCCCAGGTGTTCATTTTTCCACCTCTCTCAGGGACAAAGGTGATAGAACACTCACAACACACTTGCACTTAACAAAACAAAGAAAACTCAAAGCACCAAGTTACTTACCATGTTGTGAGACTGAACATGGGGCCACAGACCTTGTTGAGGTTGCATGAAGAACTGATGAGGGTGGTGATGGTGTGGATGGTGATACGGTCCAGGCTGAGGGGTAGAATAACAAGTCTCATTCAAACAATTTAAACTGATTCGCATTACAAGGGAGTATGTCATAGCAGTTCAAACTCACTAAGGGGCTGTCGACACTTGGTTCCTGAGAACCCCTGCCTGAGTACCAGTACAAAATGGTGTTTGGTTCACATTTTGAGTACTTAAGACGTAACTATGTTCATAGTTACTCCATTTCACACTGTCTGACACCATTTTGAAACATGAGCTAAGCAGTAGACTGCCTGAGAACTGAAATATAAACAGTGTGCACACAGGGAACCAGTGTCCATGTGCCCGAGTATACGTTCTGGCCCTGGTTGTTCAAACGTTGCATAGCGCTATCCAGCGGATAACGCAATTGTTTCCCGTAATACTTATCCGCTGGATAGTGATTTATCCGGTGGATAGCGCTATCCAGCTTTTGAACAACCTGGGCCTGGACCTTTTTTTTTTAGGCATGGGTAGCATGCCCAAATTCTAGACTGGGTACTTGAAAAAAAAAAGTGTTCACATTGGTGCAAGTACTGTACTGGTCACAATACTGAAAGAAGCTAGAACATATTTTTGCATCAAACAACCTAGGCTGCTGTTGATCCCATTCCACCAAAACCATCCATAGTCATTTTCTATTTATCACCATTTTAATTTTTACCTTCTTTAACAACCTAAGTTTTCTAGTGTTATTTGAGCCAGTGGTAAGGGTTTTTTTCAGCCAGCAAAATTAGCCGGCAGTCAGCTCTTAGCGGCATCCCTGCTGACAGTGTCCACGGTTCCATGTGGGGGATTACAAGCTGCTAAGGTGTAAATATGTTAATTAAAAAAGACAGACTGTGGTTCACTAACCTCTCTCTTTAAGGTTTTAAAGCAGCCATCGGCCCTAGTGCTAACCATATTTTCCGCTTGACTACATTTCGATAGTGCCTCCTCCTCAAGTGGACTGAGCATAGTGTTTTCATCTAAGGTTAACGGTTCTGGTGGGAGCTGACATTGTATTGTAATCACTCTGTCCATATGATTTAATGGGTTGTAGTCATCCCTTTAAAACAAAGATCAGAAGGTTAAATGCCGAGGTGTTATTTTTATTTTTTGTTATTTTATCATCATTTTGCCAATTAAATTCAATAATAATATGTTAACAAAATTAACAAAAAAAAAAAACAGATGAATTAAGGGAGCCCAAGGAAGCCAATAAGGCTTATAAAAAGGACCACCTTTAAAATATATAAATTAATTAATGAATACAAAACTGGCATCGGCAAGACAATTTAACTAATCACACACGATTTCTTTACAACATAGAAAATAATCATTACATAGGATAAAAATAGATAAGGCTGAGCTTAGGAAGTTGTTTCGGTATGAATATAATGGGAAGCTTAAGGAACAACAACAAGAATGGCAGAAAAGCAGTAAGTTTAGATTAGCAAAACAACAACTTTGCATGAGCAACAGGCTTTTGTGTACATTTCTTGCCACTGTCGCACAACTGCAATGTGAAACTTCCTAATTTCATGTTTCATTGAGGAGGTGAACAAGAAAACGATTTCCTTTTTCTTTTTCTCTACCGGTACTTACAGATACAATTCTTTAGAATTCAACTTCAGAATTGAATTGACATTGAATGAAATTGAATAAGAGCTATGGAGTTTTGAAACAGTGCCAATTCACTTTTTACGTGACGTTTTCACTACCATCGCCATTGTTGTTGCTTAAGACCCCCTAGTAGTTCAGCACAAGGTTGCAATCAAGACGGTGTCTCAGATCAGATAGTCCCATCATTGGGCAACTCTATTTAGCTCTTGGTCTTTTCTTTCTCCTTTGTTAAAACACAAGGAGGATGTACAAGACCCTACTGCATTATTTGAAAAATGTGACTTTCACGACATTAAAGGTCATTAAGCATCCATCCTCGGGGTGCCACGAGTGGCCGTTTAAAGGCAGTTGGGCGCTCAAAAGAGGTTTGTCATAAATCAGCATAATCTCAAGTAGAAACATCACTTTATTTTGAAACAAACACCCATTTTTGGTCCTCAACTTCTATCTGGGACTGTATTTTCCTTCATCAGATTCTTAAAATGAAGCCAAACTCCACTGGGTAAAGTGTATCAAGCTCTTGATGTCCGCTTAATAGAGGTGACAACAATGGGAGAACTCTCGTTGGGATGGCCAATACGTGGCCACCGTCATGGCCACCTTAATAGAGGTTTAAATTCCCATTCTTTTCTAAAATTAATTTGGGACTTAGATTTCTGGCCACTTAATAGAGGGAAGCCGCTTAATAGAGGGTGGTCCCCTAATGGAGATTCAACTGTAATACTTTTACATTTAACTGCCTAAAGAGTTGACAAAAAATTAAAGATAAAATGGTTTTCGAAATTGTTAAAAAACCTGAAGAAAGTCAAAGGTAGTAGGGTATGGAGGCCTTGGTGTTTTGTGGTCTATTTAACTGGATACTGGTATCTCTCTGTTCAGTAGATGATACTGAACATCTTAAGACACTTACTTTTTTGCTCGAACTGAGGTAACTCCTGTTTGGTCTGTTATACATTTGAGATGAACATGCTGTTTACCTATAACAATAAATTTAAAAAATAATGGTCTCGTGATTCACATGAGCGTTAACACCTCATTCATCAAAGCTAACAAATGAATTGACAATTACACTTGAGATGTATTGAAGAACCTAGATCAAGCAGCAAGAGTATACATTAAAAAATTCAAATTGCATACCAATCAGTTTTCCAGCAATTGCACTGTTAATCAAAACACGCATCTCCACCACAGGGCTAAAAGGCAGATAACAGATTATCTCAGTCACTTGAGAAAGATTGATATCAAACAGAAGGACCACTGAGTCAATAAATACAGTCAGTGGTTAAGGTCCTGCACATAAATACAAGTCTTAGAAGAGCACATTTGAAACTACAGTCTACAACTAAACAGCAACTACTATTGACAGTCTTATAGTTAGCTTATTAATTTACTTCTTAGGTGAGTAGAGAAGTTCCCATTCTCTGACTGGTCAAAGCCTACATTATCAGTGTTCTAAGCTGTGCTGTAGGGAGCATGCCACAAATGCTCTATTTGCCATCAGTTCACAAGAATCATATTTATTTTTAACCCTACATTCACCTTCAAAAAAGGTATAAGCAGAATATTACAAATTCCTCATCGCAACAAACTGTATCCACCTCTTATTCGAAGTGAACTCTCTCCAAGACAGAGGTCGTTTGGTCTGGCACTAAGTATTGACCATGTATAAGCCAAGTAAACCCATCACCAATACAATGGGTGTGTGGAAGGCACCTGGGTAAACTGAGGGAGCCACCAACAAGCACAGAGGGTAATCATGACAACCCTGTGAACAACAACCACCCACACACCATCACACTGACAACCTCAGTGGAGAGTTTAATGTGAAAGAAAGCTTTGTTACCCAAGTCAATGTTGTTTCGTGACTTGGAGATCATCCTAACAAAAAGCAAGATTTAGTTGAGGCAGATTTTTATTCTTCCTTACCGTAATTGATTTACCATAAAAAAACATTCTCCGGACATAATGTCTGAACACAGGTAGGATTTTGTCAGACACTAACAAATTTTGGTCAGCCAATGCCCAATGACTGACTGTTATTGCAGCGCTGAACTACTGTTACTAGAGCACTCCAAATGGCCAAAGACAGACCCAGATATGATACACGAGGAAGACCACTTGCCAGTGTTGTCTTGTGTTAGACCTTGCCTAAATTACACTTTATACTTAATTATTTATTCATTATAAACAAAGTTCGGCTTAAGAGTGACAAAAATTGTTGAGAGGGCTAAATTCAAAATTACATTATTTTAGCAGGCACTTTCCCCAAGCCCATCGATTGTTCAATTGATGAGTTTAAATGTGGTTAAATGTAATTTACGCGAAGTTAAGAGTGAAACAATGCTAGTCAGCAGCCTACCCGGTTGCAAGCATCCTTTACAGCTCTGCTGTTGAGGTTAACTCATTCTCACGTAGACTGTGCCTGTTTTCGACTGTGTTCGGCAAATTAACTCCCTGCCCTCCTAACCTCTCTGTGGTAAGTATGAGGTAAGTGTCATTGTTCCAGTATTTTTCAGTGCAAAGGTGACTGGTGGTTGCCCCTCACTGGGTTGCTATGGTTACCCTACACACTTGGCTCTTGTGCTTGTGGCTTCACCATCTTTCCAGGGAACTTCCCAAAGTACCACATTTATTAATGAGATACACTTACCTTCTCTTGGCAGGGTCAGTTTCAGAACGCATTGTTCTGTGAATGCTGAGGTTAGCTTCGCTGCACTGCGCTGGAGTTCCAACAATCTCTACCACCTTAACAATAAGCAATTACATCTCATTACCCACTGTCTGACATGACATTGCAAATGTACCAATATTTTAACGTCAAGACCAACAAACAAATGGTACAGAAGAAAAGATGTCACAAAAGCTAAAATTGTTAAATCATGGGGTTGGTTAGAACATCCAGACAGAACAAGATGAAAAGTCCACTCAGTAACAATCAGCCTGCTAGTACAAATAGGCCATTTGGCACAATGATATTGTTTACTACTAAGACCAGAATTAATTTGGTATTTTTCTTTCATAATTTTATTAAATTCAGTACGCCCAGTGACAGTTGAGTAACAAAAGCATTACGCCAAAATAGAGTTTTTGAGATCACTTCTGTTGCTTCAAATTTGCCATAGGCACACAATATGAGCGAATGTAAACAAGCCAAGTGACACGAAAGTCTGCCATGCGAAGGACTTGTACATGGTAGAACGCATGCCAGAAAGGAAACTCTGCTAGAGGGGTACTTGATCCCACTTTTACAATCTCAAAAACCTTGCAACAAAGAAACACAATTCCCAACAGTGTGGGGACAAAGAAGTTAAAAGTGATGAATATAATTATTAAAGCAACACCCCTGGACCATATGGTTATTACCAGTCATTGTACAGACTATTCATTGACAGCATGCACATGTCCTCTCAGAGAACCATTTTTTTTTCTCGAAAAAGAAAAACTTATAAATCTTAAGCTTACTGTATTTTTTACCTTACCTAGAAGCTGTCAAAAACAATTGGAATTGACAGCTTTGGCTTATAGCCAAAAGTTTGAAAATATTTTTGCCCCCAGTTGTCGAGTGCCAAAGAAGATGTAATGAAAAAATTCTGTGATAATGCATGAGATAAATAAGGGATTGTTTCAATGAGGGGAATGACATGGGATGAGTGGCCACATTTAAAGTATTTTGGCAGTCTTGGAGATATAAGCACTCTCATGCTCCAATCCTTCTTAAATAGGCCTGGTTCACAAACGTTAATATCTAAGTCAATTTATAAGGACTTGTATGGAGTCATCAGAGCACAGTGGTGTATATCTCCCCACCAGGGGGCTTTTTTCATCTTGTTCTTTCTGTATATGCCAACCAATTATGCGCTGATTAATGGCCTGCAGTTGCATAATAATTCTGGTGTGACAACATAAATCTAATCAAACAAGTATGCTTGCACAGTTAAATATGTAACTGTTCTTTACACACTAAAAAACAAACAAAAAACAAAACAAAACCAGATAAAAAAAATACTGTTATCTAGCTCAGGCTTCAGGGAATGACCATGACAAAAAATGTCTTGTATTGCTTTGCAATTTTGTTACATTAACTTTATAAGTTGGACAACCTGTGACTGTTCAGTATATGCAGGGGTTTCAATAAAAACTGAAGTAGGCAGCAGGTTTGAAAAGAGCAACCAACAGTATCAACAACGTGCACCGGCATTATAATTTTAGTCCAACTTTGAAAAGCCCTGAACTCTGATTTTCAGAATTCTGGGGACTAAATGGAGTACAATTGCGTACATTTAAGAAAATAAAGTGTTCACCCAAGTTTCAATAAAGTTATTTATCAGCCACACACACAACTCATGGAAGCAATGACTATAATCAAAACGCACACTCGCCTGTGAACAAACTATGCATGAACCTATAAAGAAATATCTAAAAAATTGACTGACCTACAGCGTTCACATAATAAGCTTTCGTGAAAACACAGAATGAAATTTCCATCAGATTTATGATATATTATTTGTTTACGATGTTATTAAAACTAGTTGCTTCTTCTTTCGGGAAAATAGTAGCCGACTTCTCTGAGTTAAGTAGCAGACGCTTTTTATCAGTCATCAGTGCTTATTGAAACCCCTGGTATACCCCCTGCATCATTAAAATAATACACACTTCTAATATGATTTGAAAAGCCATCTGATGAAGGAAATACCTTTTCAAATGGAGTTTTGTCATCTTTCTTGTGAACAGTGATGCTAGAGACAAAAAGGCAAGGTTTACAAGGTTATGGCTGAGTGATTTATGTTAGAGGCATCTCGATCAAAACTATACTGAAATAATATTTACTTTATTCACACATGTACTGAAGGAAGAATGTCAAGAATTGTGAACATGGCTTATAATTTGATTTAGTTATGGGCACACTAATTCTAAGAAATTTCAACTGGTTCATTGACATTTGAAATTAACCAATTTAATCACCCATGATGAAGAAGAACTGTTGATCAAGATAGCTTAAAAAATAAATAATATTGTTAGGCAGCAAAATGATTCACAGAGCTATAAATATCATCCAGTCAATGGACAATACCTGGCTTAAGTTTGTTAAATCCCAGACGAAATCCAACCTGCAGGTCAGACATGATGACCAGACAGATCAAAATACCCAAAGAATATCATTATTCTTTTAACTTGACGGCGTATATTGTACTGAAAATATGAGTTAGTATAATGCATGTCCAATCGTTCTAGTCTGTCCAACTAAAATGGTGATCTGGCTCAAGACACATGCCCTTTCTAAAACGTAAACTTACCAGCAGCCATAATTGAAGTTTAAAATTCAACGTTATTTACAATCAAAAATATATGAAAGGCCATCACTAAATTTAAAGAGACTTACTCCGTTCCTGTTTTGTCTGTGAGATCTTTGATTTTCTTTCCTTCTTTGCCAATAATGGCACCAACCATGGTGGGCGGCACAAGAATCCTAGTAACATGGCAACATTAACAAGCAGCTCAGTACAATATACTTTTTAGAACTAATATTGGACTGGAGAGTAGAAAAAGTTAAGGATACAAAAGAACATACAGTAACCAGAACCTTGCAAATTCCCACAGCTACATTGAGCTAGTTAACTGGAATGTTGATAAGAAGAACGAGGGGAAAATGCAAGTAGCTCTCTGGTATTAATTGACAGTAAAATTAAGTATTTTGGGGCCAAAACAAATGACCATAATCTAGGGGTGTACATACTAAGGAGGTGTTTGCAGGAAGATGGCAGGCTGCGATTAAAAAAAAAAGAAAAGAAAGAAAAAAACACGAAGTGCTTGCAGGTATCTTTGTAGTCCAAAAACGTTTATTGTTCTAGTCTCAAGATATATTAACTTACTTCACTTATTGCTGGGCAGGTCAAAAACACTTATTCTACAATTTCTGTTGCTCATGGTTTTCTGACATTTTACGTGTAGTACTTGAAAAATAAGAAATACATACATCTATAGCCTTTATTTCAACTCAAAGTTTAGAGTAGCTACAATGTATATCTAATAATAATAAGATATATTATCTCAAAGGAAAAAAAATCAGGATCTCTTAAACTGGTTATACTAAAATAAAAATTAGTGTAACAGATCAAATGTATTAGGACTTTGTACACATCACTTAAAATTAGGAAAAATACTGTTCCTTTATTTGTCACGAAGAGCATTCATTCTTTGGCAGAAAAATATCAAAAGAATAATTCTTGCTTGAGCAAAACCTCACTGAACTATATTTGCGGAAAGAGCCCGTAGACCAAGAAGTCTTGGTCTGCGGTACTTTATACACTGTTTTGTGAATTTTTTTTCAAAATCTGTCCACATTCTTGCGATGCTCGTGTTCTACCAACTAATATGCATGGTATGTGGCCACAAAGTTTGATGGCACAGTAATCACGTGCAGGCACATGCAAGAGATGCAACAATCATTGTCGGATTCACAACTGCCCGCCAAAAAACTGCCATAATGTAGAGAGCAGGCCATTAGAGGAAGTTCAACTGTATATCGATACTGTACTAAATGTGAGACTTTTTGATTAGCCTTGCTGGCCGAGAACCTTTTGAACCAGGAAAATGAAAGTAGAGCCTGATCTCAGATTAGTAATGGACATGTTTTCAGTAAGATACAAATGTTACCAGAGTCTAGAAATCCATGTAAATTAAGTTTATTAAGGTTTCACTCCAATGCATGTGGTTTTTATATTTTTATATTTTTATACGTTTCCAAGCAAGTTATGTTGCTCGTCACCTGAAGGCTTCAATAAGCTTTTAACTCTAGTGGTAAACTAAGCTTTCTCATTATTCTCTACTGCATATAAACAGCCTTTGGTCATTGAACACAGATTGAATCGCTGATTGAGTAATAGGACTTCCTGCAGTCGTGACTGTATACATTTCAGGCTGAGCACTGTGCCATGCATTACTGTTTTTGCTGTATCTTTGCCTGCGAATACAGCCTTCTCTCCTTGGTACCTCATTATTCGCAGGCTAATTGTATCTAAGCAACTGGGAATAAAATTGTTGAATTAAATATGAGTATTGTTTACTGTGTTGTTCAATTCAGCTTCTACACTCATGATCCACCATGATTCCTTTTGTTGACACTGCAACTAAAAGGGCTCTCTCTGATTCACGTACACAATTATGAAAGTGGTTCTCACCAATCACATATCCAAGGTAAACCCATATCTTCCCCTGCACTTCCTAACCATTGATTACTGCTAATCTCTACACAATTCTCCTTACATCTCTCATTTTAGTATTACTGAGAATTTGTGTTTGTCATGATAATCTAGTTGATCATTTCCAAAACTCTTATGAGCAATATATTGATTCACCCCTTGGATGACAAGGAAAGATTAAAATAATGCATTAGAGCAATGTTGATCAACATTAGAGCTAAAGGGATACAAAAACTATGACTGCAGTTCAAATAATAGACATTACAGAAGGTAGTGAACATCATCTTTTATCTAACACATGATTCAAAACTTCCGCTTAAAGAAAATAAAAATAGGTAGAAAAATGCTGCACATAATTTTGTCTGGTATAGAATAAACTAACACAGTTGATGTGGTATTTAGAATAGAAATTTCATCCATAACAACCTTCAAATCGGCTTCGAAGAAATTTAGCTGAAAAAGAGACACACAAAGTAGGAATTTACACCAATCAATTATTTTGTCCAAATGCATAATTTACATAAAGCAATATTGTTCTCTTGCAAAGAACTAAATAACGGAGAAGCAAAGTCAATGGGCAATAAGAAATCCACAAAATATCATCCAAAATAAATTAATTTTCTTTATTTTCAAAATATTCGCCATACTGTCACTAAAATAATGTACAAGGTTAAAATGAGAAAAGAAAATTTGTTAACCACATCCTAACAATCAATTAATTAACCAAATTAATGGCTGAAAAGGCTTTTCAGGAGACAGACAACTAATGGATAATTTTCAAAGGTTTAGGGTGCTCTTAATATTTAGATGAAATCATTCCACGGGTATGTAAAAGCACACTACTAGGTTAACAGTGACACAAAGCTACGTTATAATGGAATAAAACCAGAATAAATAATATCTATAAACAAGAACAGTTGCTTGCACCTGATGAAGTAGTCAGTATCTCTTGGTTGCCTATTGCGACCTGATCGAGGCTTTCCTGGTCTTGTTCCATTTCTTCTTCCACTGTCAGGTGATTTAGAGTTCTTAACATCTGGCAGTTCATCTTCTCCTATGTAAGAGAACTGACAAGAAATTGTTGCATTCAGTAAATTTAAACAACAAAGAAATATTGACTCCTGGCTAAGCAAGCTCTACAAACAAACCATATTCACTGTCCACCCTAATCTGACAGTCTCTTGACTTTATATGCCCCAAATTCAAATTCAATTCCAACAAAGTATCAAAATGATACAAATTCTACAGAGAAAGCAGGACCATAGCGACTCAAGTCTTCTATGAGTCCTGCACAATTTAATATCATAGCACATCTTACTTGAAGGTAAGACTTGAACGATTTTGATAATACATTTTTAGCTAGGGAACTGAGAGAACTTCTTTTTCTTCTTGGCAACGTCATGACTAAAGAATCGATTTTTTTATCAATGCTAGGATACCTAAGAGTCTGCAAAAAATGTCCAAGGATAATTTTTATTCATAATTATTATATAAAGGGTTAACATGACCAAATGAGGGGGAGGGTATCTACCAAATAAATTAACATTTTAATGTTCCAAAGCACAATTTATGAGAGAAAATGCTATTTCCGTTTTAAATGAAGTAGGGCACAAAATAACTGGCTTTACTTTATTATGCAACAGTTTCAACTTGTATCACCTTAAATCAATATAAATGCTGTCTTAACCACCAAAAACCCAGTTATTTTCATTTTAGACAGTGCAAAAAAACGATCTTCACTTACCCTCGCCATTTGTCAGGGGGAACAGGATTTCAGATTAAAAAATGAGTGTCACACAGAGAATCAAAACTTCAGTCAATTGTTGGTCCATAGAGTGAAATGTTAGCATGTGTCTTATTTTGGGGTAGTAAATATTTAATGCATCATTATCAACCAATTTCCAACTACAACTCCTTCAAGAAGGTTTTTCAAAATTCTTATACGTAAACAAGCCTTTTAACCCTTTTCCTTCTGCATAAATATGTCAAACTGTGATCACATAAGAAAAATCCAGAACTTAACTGTTCTTTTAGTTAAAAGAATTCACAGATTGAGACCAAAACACACACAATGAATAATTTATGTTTTACTAAACAATAGAATTACAAGAGGATTAAATGGCACAAAAAGAGAAAAACCAAGGTTCTTCTACTCAATTCAGCCAAAAGAACAGAACACAGTTTTAAGAGCTGGCAACAGAATAAAACAAGTTCCATCTCCCATAAACAAATCATTGTATTTTGATCAGAGATTTTATTCTGCTCAAACAGCAACCTGTAATAAAATACAAGTTTCAAACTCTAGCTCATTAATTTGAAGACGAAAAGTATTATTTTACTTTAGGTAACAACAAAAGAGACAACACTTTTTCAACTTTCAACTTTTTCACTTCTAAAAGATGTTCAAACTAAGTATTCTTGACACTGGAATGCACTTATTACGACTTGTTTAACTTTTACATCTTCCGCAGGTGGTCTATGGTGGTGATATTTACGAAGCAGTGAGATACAAGTACCAATCAAATATAGAACTAGTGACCTTGACTTTGCAATTACAGACAAAAAAGGGAACCACTTTTTCAGTGTTAAAAGGGGCTATACCACAAAGATGTTTCTGTTTCAGATCAGTTCGGTGCTGAGGTCATTAATTAATCAGCATCTTTACCTTTACACCACAGTGTAAATACTCCTGTAAATATAAGGAGCACTCACCATAATAATCTTTCGGTTACTTTTGCAGGCAAATTATTAAAACTTGAAAACATTATCCCAACTATTTCAAGTTTCCATCCGTTGCAACAGATGACTTTCGATGCCTACATGTAAATATAGTCTTATTAGGAAACAAAACTGAACTTTTAATTCAATCGATGCAAGGACAAGTTTCAGCTTTTTAAAAAGACAGCAAATAGCATGACCTAGCCCCTTAATATCGTGCAAGACACATGTAGACTACACAGATAATTATCCAAGGCAAAAAACAACTGGTTGTAAATTTACTTCACGGTAATGAACAAGTCAACTTCCTTCAATGAAAACTAAACAATGAGCTGTTAATACTCCTTAAGATTAAGGAATCTACAAATTGACAATTTAAATTGTGACAGAAATTCGGTGAGGATGTAGAAAATACAATATGACAGAAATAAGACTGACTCTTAGAGTAAATCATCAACTAATCATAATTGACTCTAACGTTATTTTCAGGCTAATTAAAAAGTAGGAGAGCATGATCTCCAAATTAGTGACTACTTAGCCTTGACTGGTTCCAATGGAACCAAAATAACCATGAATTGTCGCTAAGTCCCGGATTACGGCTAATTTCCGCGGCTGAAAAAGAGCTTGCTACCAGCTCAATTGCAAACAAAGACGTGGGGAATTTTTGAGGTAAAGTTGGAGAAAAAGCCGGCTTGACAAATACAAAAGCCTGCTTAGCTTGTCCTTTGCTACGATGATCCCCGCTAATTTCGAAGCATAATCATTTTGACCACCCAGTTTTCAGTGGATATATTCATCAACCAAATCAAAATTTTTACAGAAATAGTGAAAAGTAACTAAAGATGTTAACAACTTTATGATTGTTGCAAAAAAATCAAGCAAGGAATTATTGAAAAAGGACAAGACTGTCTCAGCTTTTTATACCATTTCTTTTCTTTGATTACCATGAAGAAAATACAAACTAGAGCCCATGCAAAATATTTCCTTGGAGTCATCACTGAGACTCTATTCTACTTAAATTCTTTTTGTTACCAATGAAAGGTGAGGCAATTAAGACTAAATTTGCCCCTATTTTTTGTTGTGTTATCAATCTCATAACAGTCTCATATCTTTCACAGAGCACAGCAAAAGGGCTGCCTGATGCTACAGAGCTAGTAGAACAACCACTCAGAACAGCCCGTCATTATCACAAGATTGTGAATGGGAAAACATATTTTGCTATCATTTTCAAAGGGAGCTAAGCTAATAACTTATATTACACATTGTACTCACTATCCGTCTTCCCAATGGCTAAGAGCCCTCAGCTAATTTTCGAAATCAGCGCAACCTACAGACTAATCTGTAGGTTGCGCCCGCAATGCATGATTTCCAATAACAATATCAATTCAGGTTCCTTGGAATGGTGTGTTTGTTGTTATTTTCTTTAAAACAATGTATAAGAAAACAATTATTAGATTCAGTTTTTGTGATATCCGTAATAATCAAGGTCTCAGTAAGTGTTGTCAGCCTCGGCCTTTGGCTCAGTTGATAACACTTAGCTCGAACTTGGTTATTAAGGATATCACAAAGCCTCAGCCAATAATTGTTTATTAACAGTCAGCTTCTTAAATACACCATCCAGGTTAGTTTATAAAACCGTCCACTTTTTTTCTTACAAATTTAATACTGGTTTCTGGAGTCTCTATGTATATGGTACTGCTTCTTCAGCAACAGCGTCTCAAGCTGGTGACTTTTTGTCTGTTGAGTCTCAGGGAATGTAATCTGATATTAATTACAGTTCAAATATGCGGAAGTAATAACTAAAACTGTAATTGAGCTGTCTTGTTGTCCCTGACCTTATATCATGATCAACAACAGCCTGTGGCAAGTTTTATAAGACACTCTTAAATAAAAAAAACCCTCATAAATAAAGATTTATCATTACTAATGTTTGCCACCCGAGAGCTTTAGTGAGGCATTCATTAATATGGCCCCTGGCTACTGCTCCTAAAGATACATACATAACAAAAGCTAATCTACAGTACAAATCAATATGCCAACTTAAAGGCATCTTGACAGGAAAACATGCAACAAATTAATATGCTGACTATTGCAGGTGATGTTCAAATAGCAAATCTAACAATAATTACTAGCAAAAATTTCACCTTGGAAGACAGCACAATGAGCCTCTATGGAACGCAGCAATTACGGTTGTTAGAAGGTTTCTTGTATTGGAACACTTAGTTACGTGACGAGACAAGAAGCAGTCTTGCTGATACTCTTTCACATTGCCTATATTCATAGTAAGTACACACTGTACATAGGTAAACCAGATCAGTAGCAGTTGTGGCTACCCAAGAGGGACTGCGAAATTGCACTATCAATTACACATACGTACCTGTTGTCCGACTTGATCCAAGCTTGGTCCAACAGCCCTGAAATGAAGCACAACACCGATAAACACAAGAGAATTTAGTTCCTCTTTCATTATAAAACAACATGATGCATCGTTCCCTGTAATCGGTTAAAAAAATGTATAACCATGCATTACTCCTTGCCATTCAGTTGGGCAATTTCATATTCAGAACGGTTATCAACTCGTCTTTTATGGAGATTTTGACTGAATGGTGGGCAGAGTACCACAAAAACTTTCATAGCTAACAACAAGGAATGATAATGGAAACATAAAATTACCGTGCGTCTAGTTAATCCTACACAACTTGCGGACAGGAATGGATATCGTAATGGCGTTTTATCTGAAACTTGTATAAATTTGCATTTTCCCAGCCTTAGTGGAGAGCACAATCAAAAAAGCAGACAACGAAAAAAGAAAAAAAACAGTCGAGTCCTTTGTAGTATTGACATTATAGGTCACCAGCCATAAAGAGATAAACACGCACCATTATTTTTCCGTCCCTTAAAAAAATTACGGCCAGACTATTATTTACTTAAAACCGTAAGTGCACAAGTGTTGACCTTACATGCAGACTGAAGCACCTTCAACAAAACTTTAAGAATGGTTATGATTTTAGCTTTTTTATCAACAAGAATAACTTGAAGTCGGAGGCTTTTTAAAAATCAAATCCGAAAGTGTTGAAGAGATTGTTTAGTCTCGTCTTGATGCAAATAGCGATGAACAAGGGTTCTGTCCACATCTGAACGGAAATAACTCACCCTTGAGGTTCTTCACGTCCAGAGTACTCCATCACAGAGGTTGCTTCTGTCTGAAAGGTCAGGGAAAGCCCCGCAAAATTTCAATTAGTCACGTGCCTGATAAGACGCTGTTATGACAACATGTAAACAAGTGCCACCGCACGTGAGTGCAAGTGCGAACACTGTCCAAAATGATTCGAACGCTTCTCAAGGATTTCACAGCTATTTTGCCCTCTTCTCGCATTCACCTGGCACTGAAATCATGTGCGAAATACTCTACTTGAGTATTCAAACATATTTCCTATTTCTTTACGACAAATCCGACATTCCTTGTGCGTTCAATTCTAAGCACTAGCGTTACGAAGTTACTCAATTAACCTTGAATGGTTTAAATTTAGTCATGTGAAAAGAACTCATATAAACACTACATAATGCTGTTTCTTACAACACTGAACTTCAATGATGCAATTTTTCAATTACAATATCTTGGTCAAAATATTTTTAAAAATAAAAACAAGACGACTTCACTTAATGCTAAGCCCTTACAAACTGCAAGCTATTGTCTAATAAGGAATAAAACCGTGCTATCGAAATCACATGAACAACACTTTGAACACATTTCTAGAAGAGGCACGTAATCACTTTATAAGAATGTTATCGCCACCACCACTTTTTTTTTGTCTAGACAAGGTTAATCACGAATATGATCAAGGCACAACAGTACAGTTGTATAGGTGTTGCTGACGCACCGCAAAGATGATACTGTTAACAGTTCGATTTACGTGTACGTTACAGAGTTAAACATTTGAATACTATTCAGCTAAAGCTGGGTAAAAACGCATAATGTAATTCCATCTTTTTGACATTTAGTTAGCAATCAAGCTGACTAAAAGCTGCTTCAAAGCAGAAATGCTTCTACAAGTGGTTAACTAGAGGTTTAGTTTGAACGGCTACAAGAGATTAAAAAATGTCGAAAATGAGTTTTTTACCAGCGAAAAAAACAACATACAGGTTCATTGTACGGACGACATGATTCTTCCTTTGTGTGAAAGCCGTCCTGATGAAATGCAATGCAGGGAATAGTACAGTGAACTAGAAGTAAAAAGGATTTCCTGTCGCACAAGTAGTTAACACAGTTCACAGAAATTATTGGTTTCTCTCACACAAAGAAATCTGGTCACGATAAACCTTTCAAAAAGGCTGGTTCCTCTCTGGGAATACTGTATGCAGATTTTTTTCAAGCGAAGGCGAGAAAGTATGCTTTGTATATTCGTCAAGGAAATGGCACTTAACCCTGCTAAAAAACATTAACAACACATTTTTGCTTCACAGCATTTCTGATTCATGTGCTTGTTCGTTTCACAATGAAGTGCGACAATAACGTTGTAAAACTCAAGCTCTTTTTGCAGACTTTCGCTTTCTTCGGCGGGATGTTTAAGAGAGCAACTTTCTTTCTCCAACCCCCCATCACAAGTTCAAAGCATGCTTCACCTCGCTACACACCCTAAATAAAATTCAACCAGTGAGCTGGGAGTCACGGAAAGGTAGAAAGGGAAAAAACTATTTCTACAAGCATACTACAGAACCATTCAAATTGAAGACAAAAAACACCAGTTTCATGAAAAGACGTGAAAGCGCTATGAGTAGCCTTTTACCCATCTGAAAGGAAGGATGGATTGATGAAGCGGCAACGCCGTAAACCTGATTATCATACGAGGTGTGTACCACGTCTAGATCCTGCTAACTAGTTAAAATTTCAAGCTAAAAGGATGCACAACCCTCTGAATAAAACGACCTTTACACGGAGCAAACAGAATTCTCCAAAAAATAGATAACAGGAATCGTACCGAGTCTAAACTCCCCGAAAGATCAGCCTGTTGATACGATCAACCAAACGCTACGATGCATCTCCTGAACACAATGAAGGATCAAGTAGTATTAACGAAGTTTTGTTTGCATTTTTAAAACTAGAAAATTGAAAGGTAACCTTAAAGATTGTACTCACCAAAAATGACGGTTAAAATCCAAGATATATTGCAGGTTACGTCGAAAGTGATTTTATGGATGACTGTCCTCTACTCTACAGCTGAGGTCAACTAAAACCTAGCAAGCAAAAGCGAGTTCAACGCGGTTAGCTGCGGAGAGGCCTCTGGAAAACGAAACAATGCTTATAAGAAGTGCTAACTAAACCATCATAGAACATAGCAACGAGCTCAACTGGCTACGCTTAAGTTTGTATTCGAGCGGAAAAGACTCCATATCGTGTCTTCAAACGACTGAAATCGAGATGCTCGTCTGCAGGCCTTGTCAGCTTCGTGGAATTTTTGTACCAAGAACCGATTGCACGTAAATAAATTGACGCTTTTCTATGCAAACAGGATAACGAGCCTGCGACATGTGGACAAGACAACGCTTGCAAAATGGGTAGCTTAAAACCAGCTGAAGCCCCATTAACTTGGAAAATATTTTGATTCAAGTCTTGTAAACTTGTTGGCTCCGGTTGTAATATCTTGCCCTACTACAATAGAGTGTTGTGTTCGTAGTTCATCTGACAAATAACTTGCAAACACTAAACAAAACCTTCCGTTTAGTCTTGACGGCCCGCAAAAATGTCAGCTAAGAGAACACCTACAATTTAGCTCGCGGCCGGAAGGTTAACTAACACGGCATCAACTTCTTCACTCCATTCACTGACTCTCAGCTTTCCCGTCTTCCACCGCAGCGACAACGCAAAGCCTCAGATGGCCTAGAATCGAAAACGAGGAACAAATGTCACAGACTGCACAGTATTTACGAACTACAACAACGGAACGACTTCAAAACACCTGACACAGCTGGAAATTGTAGAAATTACAGATAAAGTAAGTGCAAGGCTCGTAGTTATGTGAAATTCTGACCTCCGAGAAAAGCTTCAAGCGTAGCGAAAGCCAAGGCCACGTGCCGCCGGTGTTACAAGACCACGTGATCCCGTGACATATGTCATTTGATCGGGTTGTGCAATCGCCTTTTCAGCCACTTCATTGGTCAGAATGGCCCACGTGACGTTAGATTTCATCAAGAAACCGTGTAATGCTGTTCGTGATGTGACATGATTCAAGAGAACAATGCATTTGAACAATATCGCGCGAATTTATGTCGTGTTTTAACACAAGGAAAACTCCTAAGTGCTGTTGAAACTAGTTATTGTCAAATCGGTTGTATGAAACCACACGCAAAATCTATTTTAGAGCCGTTTTAGAAATGTTTTGATTGCCCGCCAGCCAATCAGAATCCTCTCAGCCTTGTTCTGTGTGGCTCAATTATTCAACCTTTATCAGCTAGAGATTGCCACACATAGGGCGGAGATTTCGCAATGCTCGTTATTCGTGATTTCGTCCTATATCCCAGGCCCTTATAAAAAACAATTGCGTCCGACCTGACATAAAAAAAAGCGTTTGGATTGTAAAGAGATAGCTGGGTGTCGAAGAGAGCTTTTATACACACGGACAAGGCCTGCACACTGACTGAAAAATGTGTCGATCATTAATTAAAAGCACCAAGGTAAGTAGAACTTTCTTTCTGATTCTTTGTTGCGGGTCGCCTGTTTTGAGATCACTGATTCTACATTCATCCTCTACGTTACCAACCCTAAAAAATATATATATATATTATTGCACAAATTCGAATTTTCGGTTACCTCAGTCCTTCAATCCGCAAATTCGGAGGAAATCTCATGAAATACAAATTTTTTCCAAACTATTTCAACCTTTTCCTGCTTGCCTCAAGCGCAGCGAGCACACGAAAGTCAAGACTTTAAAGATACTTTCGGATCTCAGTCATTTCGTTTATCCAAAAAGAAATACCCCATTATACGTAGTACAGAGTGTCATGTTAACAAGCGGTATCCGCGGAACATTAGCTCAGTCCGTAGAGAGCTGGTCTGTAGAGTGGAAGCCGGTTACAGGTTCGATTCCCTCAAAAAAGATGAAAAGACTGGCTTTTTGCCCTGCAAATGGCTAGAACTTCGACTGGTTCGGACTTCGCTGCTGGCAGAGGTCTCTCACGACGAGCAGGGAAGGTTCGGACATATACCACTTAAAAATGGCGATCCGCTCTCCAGTGGAACCTAGATTCCCGATATCTCGAAAGCCAAGGTTTTTCGAAATCCCAATACAGTAATTAGAACCAAACTTAATTTTACTTCATTAGTCAAACACTGCGGTAATTTTACCACCGATTTTCTTGGAAGTTCGCGAAAAATAGACTAAAAATCGGGATAGTCCACTGTAAATGCATTGAAGTTCAATTGGAAATAGCTGGGTTTCAGTTTTCATGATCAACAAATCCTAGGTTAAGCTGGAAATGAGTGTCAACAATTGTGAACCACCGATATCTCTGGCGAACGATAAGATAGCAAAAAGGGGGAGGGCCAAATTTTCCTCGGCACTGCACTTTAAAACGAGTGTTAGCCTGGAAGGGTTCTTGAAATACGTCCTCAGAAAACAGAAGACTATATTGAAGTCCTCCGGCAAATACTTTGTTATATTAACTAAATGATAATGAAATGTAATTTCCATAATTCGTACCCTATTTTCGTATATTTTAGAACTATACACTGCTAATAACATCTGAATGTTGAAATGGACTAAAGTTTATCTATCTGTCTATGATCCTACCTTCAGTGTCTTTAGTCTTTCATACACCAAGTTCACTTTACAGCTCTACAGATTACTTTCTGTATTGTTGTTATTAGTATTAGTATTTAATTATTATCATCATCATTATTGTTGTTATTATCAGCTGATTCATCCATTCTTCTCATAAACTTGCTATTCTTTTTGCTTGGGAACTAGGACCAAACTATGGACTCTGATTTTAGGCATTCAAGGGTAGTCCTCTGTCTCTTGACTCACCCCTTCAAGATGATAGTGCTTATTGATATGATTATTGATATGATTATTATTATTATTATTATTATTATTATAGCTAATATAAAATTATTAATATTATCATTGTTGGATTTATTATTATTGTTGTTGTTATTATTATTTATTCTACTTTTCCTCTGCCATGTTATGCTATCTTGCAGGGTAATTTTGTCAACTTCAAGAGCTGTTAAGAGTGCTCCAGGTTTCCCTTGTTTGTTTGTTTGTTTCTGAGATGGCAAATTAACTAAATAGGCAAGACAGGGCATAAATAGCACGAGTTACACTTTAAAGATCCTATGAAATAGCTGAAGTCAACTTGAATGGTGCAATATTTCAGTAAAATATGATGACCCCTAAAGGACAACACACTGCATTGTCTCCCAAACCATTACCTGTGTACGTCAAAATATTAGCAGCCCGCCCTGAACACCCTTAGTGAAAACAAACTTTCAATTTACAAAGCTGAACATGACCACGAGCATATGTGCCCTTTTTACGTGGGAGCCCCCCATCCCCCGGAATTTAGTTACCTAATTGTGTCAGGTTGTTGGCTTACCACACGGGGCTGAAGTGGAATAAAGGAAATAGAATAACAGAAATTTCCGAGGTGGGAAAATAGGAGAGAAAAACGATGATTTTCGAGTTGGAATAATCCTGTTTTTACCGAGTATCGGAATAATGGAATAACGAATATTTTCGGCCTGGAATGATGGAATAATGAACAACTCTGTATTCTCCTTCTTCCCCCAAGTTTATGAATTTTAACAGGTTGCTCAAACTAAACAGTTATTGCTAACTTTTTATTAATGTAGTTATTCTTTTACGTACCTCGTTTAGCAGAGCATTTCACGGCATATAAAGTAGACTTCAACCCGAATTAACGGTATTTAACGTCTTAAGAAAGATGAACCAAAACATTTCAAACCAAACTCGTGCGCCTGCAGCCACTCGTTGACCTGAAGTTAAGGTAACTCCCGCGCATTTCTGCCGACTCACGTAGAAGATGTTCTAAAAATAAATTAAGGAAGCTAGAGACAGGCCTGCACGAACTGCCCTGAGTGTGGTTTTGCGGTCGAGTCGTATTAGAGTTGAATCAGAGTGTTACAGATGTCGTCAAGGCACAGTGCTGCTCACTTGTTTTTTAATTTCTTTTTGTTTCTGTCTCTTTTTTAAGTGTAAAGTATTATGTTCTTAACCCTCGTTTTCTTCAGTTTTTCCCATTTTTAGGCTGACGTTGGTTTATTTCAGGTGTTTAGGGAAAAGTACTGCGGGGCGAGATTCAGAAATAGTTTTACTGAAACAAAAGTAATCCACGTAGTCTTTAACCATGTCACGTGCTAACCGCACCACTTTCCTTTGTTAAACCATCATATCCGCCACTGGGTCAGCTAAGAAGATGAAGGAATTTGTATGTATTCACAGAGGATCTGAAAGCCGCTTGTTCCAACATTTGTTCGGAATTCGAGATTACGAGATAAATTGCGTTGTGATTGCTGGATTGAGTAGTGTTTGACGCAATTACGGGTTCGAGGAATTCCTTTTCAGGACTCTCTGTACAAAACAGAGGAGCACTCACAACCAAGTAGGGACAAAAACGACGGAAAATTTAGCCTCCCCCTTCACCCAATTCAAGAAAGAGGAAAATGGCGCGTTTTTGCTTTCGCAAGGGCCGCGGATATTAAAAATTGCTCCGCAGTAGAAGAAAAGTAGAGCTTTTTTCAAGAAAAGAAGAAACAAGAAATATTTTAAATTAATTCGAAGAAAGTTAGATGTAATTTTCCACCAAAACCTAGTCCCGATTGGATATTATTTACCGTAATACAATTACAACTCATCAAGCATTCAGATATTTTAAATTAATTCGAAGAAAGTTAAATGCAATTTTCCACCAAAACGTGGTCCCGATTCGATATTATTTACCGTAATACAATTACAACTCATCAAACATTCAGTTTAAAGTTAGCAACAAAAGAACGTGTGTAACCATACACAGCCAAACCCGGGAGCCAAAGTGAGAGAAGGCAACTTCATTTTTGGCGTGGTTTACTGGCTTACTGTCATCAAATCGGATTCTGTAAATGTAACGAAATTTCTTTTCCGATTATCGTTACAATCACCAAATACATTTGCCAGTCGTCGGCAAGGCAAATTTGTCTCTCCTTTCTTTGTGGCTGTTGTGTTTAGTACTGTCAGATAACTAAATCATTCCTGAGTCATTGTTGAGTGGAGCCATCTTTTTAACCTTCGAGCCTCTGAAAAGGCCTTTCCTCACCTTTCTCCTACTTACCCAGCTGACTGCAGGATTTACCAGCAGAAGATTGAAGATTCAGTTGTCGCATATGCTACGTAGCCCAGCTGGTTTGACTTTGAAAACACAGAAGACTATGTGAATGAAATGCAGTATGTAAAGATAGTCGTTTTGAGGCTTACTACTGACATTAGACACAGGATGGAAACGGATCATTAATAAATTTCCGATTGTGATTTCCGGGGGGGAAGAGCTGAGGGTTTGCAGTTCCATCTTATGCTGCTTAAGATTTCAGGTTAAGTGACGGTGTGGGGAACCTTGGGATTGAGACGGTTAGTGACCCAGTCTTTGCCTCCCCCCCCCCCCTGCTCCATGATCTTACCATCCTAATGGCGTCCGAAAATGGATCGCCAGTCTTTGTACGCTTTTATTGTCTTTTACTATAAAAATTAGAAAATTACTGAACTAATCCTAGCTGTCGTGACCACTTGAGAGAGTAACCCGTCTTTGTATGAAAACTATGTCAGCCTCGAGTGGCCATTTTTAATGCGTTGTGATTGCGAAATCTGTGCAATTAATTAAAGTGCTTATTCAACCCAATCCAAGCCATGAGACCCCTATGCACGTATTCCATGAGCGCATCCGTTCATGTAACCCACTTTCCATTGCTAAATTGATCCTTGTGAATATGTATTTACCGGCGTTAAATTACGTCTGCAGGCGTAGGTGGTGTTAGAGTGAAATTTCCATTGTTTCGGTTATTAAAACTACTTAGCTTCTTTTCA